ATATCATTTGCGCAGTCTCATCAGCTGTTGTTTTGCGCTTGAGTACCTGTCCTTCGATCACTTCGAGCAATTCTGCAGGCATGTAAATGGGTCTGTCGCGGTTGAACTTCACCACCGGGTACTTGTCAATTGGTCGGTAACCATACTCTGCGTAGCTATTAGTAACCACGTTGAGGAGAAGGGGTAGGAATACATACTTTGCACATAGTATTGGGACACTGTGCAGTACTGGCCTGTTTTCAGGCCAGGAGGAGCAGAGCCATTTAAAAAGAACGAGACTTCTGAAGGTCCAGCTCCAGCACGTCCCACCTTCGGCCTCTTCGCTTCTTTGCTGCCGTCATTCGTCATCGCGATGCCCGCAATTAGCTTCTTAAAGGTTCTCTTTTCAGACTGTTTGGTGCCCTTTTCAGGCAATACCGTACATATGCAACGAAGGTTTGATAGAAATTTGTTAAGATCGTACGGGTTAGTGTTGAGGCCAAATTTCTTTTCCATTAATTCAGCCACGTTTCCCGAGGGACGGAATACGCCATGACTGACGTTGGCGTTTAGAAGTAGACGACCTGTCGCGGGTCGGGCACTCTGGAAATACCCACGAATGACGCTATTGTACTCTGGGAAACCCAATGAGTTGCTCTCCGAAGGCATATCCAAAGGAAAATATCGGCTGCGACCTACAGAGCCGACTCTGTCATTGGCTCGTGCCCGGTATCCGGTAATAATGCCAAGAGCATCAATGGCTTCTGCAAACCTAGGGAACTTGTCGTTCTCGCCAGGGGGCGCTTGCATCGATCGAATATAGGACCTTAGGGCGTCCATGTCGATGTCGGGTGAGGGGTCAAATTTGACATTGTAAACATCTTCCTTGCCCTCATCGGTGTATGGGACCTTGACTGTCTTGTCGTCTGGTAAGAGAAGAGGGGAAGTAGAAATGACTTGACCCTTGAATTCCGTCGCGTAGGAAATTCCTTTGGCAACCTGGACCAAGGCCGACTTGACAACAGCACGGAGTTTCATGCCTTTGGCTTCAAGCGAGTCCTTGTCCGATTTATTCTTAGGCTTCTTTTCGTTCTCCTTTTTCTCTCGCTCAGTTTTGATCGAATAGCTATATAATCTCGGTGTCTTCACATCCAATGTGAAGTAGTTGGCCCAAAGGGTCACCTCGGTGCCTTTAGTACCAAAGGCTGGCCGAAGAGGGAGAAATTCACTGGTCTTGGGTTTTGAGCCCTTGCTGGAAGAGACCTGTAGGGCTGCCATTTTGGATGTCATACCCAAGTCTTGGAGAATCTTGTCTTCTAGTTGGGTTATCAGAAGATCTGGTTGAGGTGGAGGTGCAGCATTCGGTCTACGTTCTGTCAGCATCGAATTGATATTAGAATAGATCCAAACTTACCTGAACACCATGTCCTCGCCCGCGAACGGCTCGGGTCTGGGGCCGAAACCACCCCGACCGCCACCGCGCCCGCCACCACGTCCACCCCGGAAGTCACCCCGGAAGTCGCCTCTACCTCGCCCCCCTCCTCCACGGTAGTCGCCGCCGCCTCGGCCGCCGCGGTAGTCACCGCCAGAGCCTACTCCAGAAAATGTAGCACTACCGCCGCCACGTCCTCCGCCTCGTCCTCCGCCGCGATCGCCACGATCGCCTCGTCCTCCACCGCGATCACCTCGACCTCCGCCGCGATCGCCACGACCTCTACCTCTACCTCTACCACCACGGTCCGCCATAGTGGCCCCTGAACAATGACTAAGGGGAAATGGTGTGAATGAAGTTGTGTCTAGGTCGATAGGTACGTTCAGTTACACGTGACGCAACTATCTCCGGAAATATGACGTGGAGATTCTGTAAAGGAGTTTATGAGATATTAAACTTTAGGCTTCACTTGTAGATATTAGGTAGGAATGGGGGATTTTGAATTAGCTAACAGGATAGAATATGTATGTGTTGATTATATTAAGGATCTAGGATGGACAATGCTCTACAAGCAAGTAGACCACCGTTAGGGAAAACTTGTAGCTCGCTTGTCAAAGCGACAAAGGGGTTTGAATCGGAAGGGCAGCTTGATGTAACGTCTTTGGACATAGAGGAAGGTACGACAGCCCGAAATGTAGGAAACCGTTGGTACAGGAGGTTAGTTACATACCAGATGTGTTGGTGATGGTTATTGACTTTAGCTGTTGGCTGTTGACTGCTGGCTGTAACGTTGTGGGGTAAAAACAAACAACCTTTGCCAGAAACTTCCTTGTCGATGAGGATACTGCGTATTGCAAGGCAGTGTTTTCAAGTGAATTTGATCGATCTGAATCTGAACACCCGAACGAAAAATATGATGCTTAGACAGTGTGGGTGGATTTCTGCAAGATATATACCTAGGCCTAAGGTAAGATTTTTGTTGTCGAGACTTTGGCAAGTAGCTCAGAGTAAACCGAATACGAACTAAAGTGAGCGATTGGGTCTCTTAAATCCAAGAATATATACTTTTAAAAAATATTTTTTATCATCTAAACGTATCCATACTACTCCTAAGTAGGTATTTAAATAGGTAAGTAATAGGTTGGAAGTTGTAATAAAGATAGAAAAGAAACTCAAAAGCAGAGAATAGTTAATAGAGGGGAACCTGAAGATGCGAGACCCACCTTGCCAACAAAAGGGATCCATTATAATTGAATATTACATGTATATTAGATACATATCTAGGTACATACTATCCGTATCACAAACACAACAACGCTACGGTTTTCATTCCCCCATCTCCCCAAAGTGATAAAAAAAATTCCAAGGTTGCTTTGCTTTTTATCTTTATCGAAACCTATAAGCGCAGAAGCGGTGAAAGGATCTAAGGCCTCGGTATTAGTTGACGTTTTTCTCGATCGAACAACTAACCATTTAAGGCTTAGCAGGTGTGCTGCAGATTGAGACCCGCGATTATGGTACGGGGCTTGAACCTAGTAGTATCCTTGTCTGATGTACATAGTTGACCCCCATGCCCCTGCGTTTGCATGGCGTTCCCAGCTCAGCTATCTTACTCGAAGATAAAGAGACGTCACCACACAAAAGTTTTATAGAAAGAGAAAGCAAATATTTCATAAATCAATGTGATTTCTATGCTGCGCTATCTTCCTCATCACTTCTCTCTAACCTATGAACTTTGCTTGCCATTTTATCACATTCCGTTTACTTTTTTTTTTTTTTTTTTAAACAAGGGTTTTCATCCTATTATGCATCTAGAATTTCTAAGAACAAACGCTAGTGCTTGTCACACCCTCCTCTTATTAAATCAAGTCGAAGATATGAATAATAAAGCGGTATTAAGTCCATTTGCAAGCATCAACACGATGTACTTAATATGTACAAATCATCAATGATACCTAGGTAAGTTCTATGGCAAGGAAAAAGTGACAAGTCTCTTTTGAAAGGTAAAAGCTTGTCACCGCAATTGTCAGCTCATGAGTCACTTTGACTGGTCCTAGGTACCTATTCAAGTAAGTATTGTAGGTGCCTAGATAAGCGCCTAAATGACGACCTAATGATTTTAGACACTCTTTTGATTCCTATGATGGTTACATGTGAATAGCTCCATAATTAGATTTACCCCTGGGAAATGTATTTGAGGTTAAGACTAAAACTAGGTAGCTTATCTGCCACATCCTACATACATCTCAGTAATACCTGCTTTCCTTTGGCAAACGGCAGCCCCATATGTAAATAACTACCTACGAAGGCTGGTAGGTTGACAAACAGGCATCAATCAGCCTTAACCACCCAGCCACCTAGGTATTGTGCAAAATGCAAATTCAAATCACCCCACAATTCTAGGAAGAACCTCACATTGGAGGGTAAGAGTTGCCTTCGCCAACTCGCATACTACTCCCCTAATAGACGGGTGACACGTAAATTCTTTGAGCCTAAAACCTCTTTAGTCTTCACTCGGGATCCAAATCTCTTGTATTCCCTGGAAAAACCAAAGTCGGGGAGCAATCCGATATCAGTCGTTGTACATTTCAGTCCAATTAAACCCCATGGGGTATGAGATACTACCGGATCGGCCCGCTACTCACGCCATCATCTCCACGGTCGTCCAGGCTATGGAAATCGTAATATATCAATGAGTCATCTACCAAAAGCAAAAGTCAGCCTCCTTTCTAATAGAAACTTCACGTAGTATTGTTGTGGGCTTAGGGCTACTTGCACGTGCTCTTTGGACTAAGCAGGTTGATAGACGAAATGTAACGCCTCTATGCATCCTGGCATTCAAGTTCCTATTGGTTAGGTAGGATTCGTTTCGGTAACATGCTGCACGCGTTTCCTATTGCATAAACTACTGCGAACGTGAAAAGCCACTTCGTTTACCGTTTAGCCTACATGTTGTTTAATATGTGGACGTTTCTCCTTCGATAGATTTGCAAAAACTTGCAGACTAGGAAAGTCTGTGCAACAACACCTAGCTGCCAGATTCTGGCTGCCTAAAAGATATTCCAGATGTCCATATATCGCGTCATCATCAGACTGTGATGACGAACGCTTTAATACCTAGGCTGCTAGTAGTTGCCACTCGAATAAATAAGTGTCTTGGAAATTATGTATGTAGGTCTTCGCGCATTGCATCAAAGTACCTAGATACATCATTATGTATGCGTTACATATTGCACTTCCAAGCAGCTAAGTTACGAGGTCAATGAGCTTGTATTCTTTCTTGATATTTGGCATAATTTTGACTCAAGTATTTGGGTAGGCATATATTATTTTCTTCGATTAGGAAAACAAGAAGTGTTCTAAATAGAGTGAAACCTAAATATAGTTCTAATATAGTATCTAACATGAGATAACTTTGTATAATTGTCGCAGATCTTCTTAAACGACTCTTGAAGACCTCGCTCTGATACTGTGGAAGGCAAGAACGCCCGAGCCGGCATAACATCGGAGCTCCGTAACTACCTTTTGCCCTACCGTCATATACCTTTGATTCCGAGCGAATGACCACCGTCCGGTTCGCCCGGAATCAGCCCGGTTAGCTCAATCGGTAGAGGTTAGTTAACCCTTACGCTGTGCTCTTGAACTTATGATACTAACCGTCCAAATAGCGTGAGACTCTTAATCTCAAGGTTGCGGGTTCGACCCCCGCATCGGGCTCAATTCCCGATGCATCTCTTCTGAAGAGATACTTCGAATCAATTTATTTTTTGCCTTAGGAAGACATCGTTCATTTCTACCTTCGGAATAGGTTGAATTGGATCTTATTAACACAGGAATCTTGACAAGTATTCTTGTTTATAGATCTATAGAAATTTCTCTAGAGATACCTTGTTAGTTAAAGCGCAGTACCCGTCAGGGTACGAAGGCGAACTTTAGTGTAGCTAGACAGCCTGACAATGGACTCTAGGCTATCATTTAGGAGAATGCAAGACACTGGTGTAGTCGAGAAGTGATAAATTTAAGTTTGTCTTCGTTAAAGTCAACTGGTGTGCTCCATCATGTTGGTTTCTCGTGGCCCGCTGTCGCAACTTCTAATATTTCCTTCTCAAGTCCGGCAACGTGAATAAATTCAATGCCAGCATCCTTCAACTTCCGCTTGCTGGAATTATCACTTACGAACTTTTCGGGTTCGTATACTCCCACATAAACGGTTTTGATCTTGCTTCCTATAGCTAATATCCTATCCACACAAGGCAGATTTCCGCTGAGCCTTTGCGAACACGGTTCAACTGTCGTGTACAGTACGACTCCATCAGGGAGTACTTCGCCTAGGCGGCTTGCCGGTACACCATATTCCCCTGAAAGCTTCTCAATACAGCATTGTTCAGCGTGTGTGTTTCCCGGAAGCTCTAATGTGTAGCCAGATGCTAATATCTCATTCGTAGCGGCATTCACCACAACCGCTCCAACCCGGTAGTTGGTAGGCTTTGGTGGTGATTTGGTGGCTAAAGAAAGGGCAAGTTTCATGTACGACTGATGATCTCCCGCCTCTATATTTTGAACTTGTTGAGAAATGACTTCGGCCATCTTCCTTGTGATGGCCCACGGGATGAAATGGTAAGAGCTGATTGTCTATTGTCTAGGTATTCAAAATTTGAGTACGTGCATAAGTACCCCGCTAAACCAATTAATTGGCGGGGTCTTATCGATAAATCGCGTAGACAGGAAACGCGTGTAACGCGATCTTGATAGTTTGTCTCATCAAACATTCAACATCCCATTATGTTTACACACATCGCTTCTTGTTGTGCCATTTAGTCTTAGTTCCTTATGGATAACCCGGACGATCTGCTTGCGGGCGAACCGCCTACCATTGACCCGTACGAGGTTCTTGACCTAGAGCGCACGGCAAATGAGAGCCAAGTCAAATCAGCCTATCGAAAGCTTGCTCTGAAAAACCACCCAGGTAAGCTCTTAGCTATAGGGCGTATTTAGCGATCTTCGCATTCTAAGTTGTGCCATCTATAGACAAGGTTGCCGAATATCAGAAACAAAATGCCCACGAGACATTTCAATCCATAGCCTTCGCATACGCCGTCTTGTCCGACCCGGCAAGACGCAAACGTTACGATGAGACGGGCTCGACTTCTGAATCCATTGTCGACTCGGATGGCTTCAGCTGGACAGATTTCTATCGAGAACAGTACCGCGACACGGTTACTGCCGATGCGATAGAGAAATTTGCTAAGCAGTACAAGGGATCCGATGAGGAAAAGGATGACCTCTTGATCGCCTATGAACAGCACAAGGGCAAAATGGACAGGATCTACGAATCAGTCATGCTCAGCGATGTCCTCGAAGACGACGAAAGGTTCCGCACGATCATCGATGAGGCAATTGCTAGCAAAGACGTCACCGCATTTAAAGCCTACACGCACGAGAGCAAGAGGTCTAAGGAAGCGCGAACCAAGGCCGCTCAGAATGAGAGTGCTGAGGCTGAGGAGTATGCTAAAGAATTAGGAGTGCATGACAAGTTATTCGGTAGCAAGGATAAGAAAGGTGATAAGGGAAAGGGGAAAGGGAAAGGGAAAGGGAAGAAGGGATCGTCTGAGGATGACCTGGCGGCACTCATCCGCAGTAACCAGCAAGGTCGAAGCAATTTCTTAGACAATCTAGCGGCCAAGTACGGCGCAGCGCCGAGTACCAAGAAGGGAAAGAAACGCGTAGTTCCGGAGGAGGAGCCCTCGGAGGAAGCCTTCCAAGCTGCTGCCGCGAGACTAAAAAAGGGAAGAAAGAAATGAAGCTGTCACCAAGAGTTTGGCTTCGTTGATTTATTCCTTATGGCGCCCGGTATTATCTTAAGGCAAGGCAAGCAATGAATTAAGGATAGGCTAGGTACGCATCAGGTCTGACAGTGCTGTTTCTTAGTAGCTGCAATGAATATAACACATCCTGATCCAAGAAGATGGTAAATATCCCCGTGATGCATCTATTATTTAGTACATTATGTATACTATATTAAGAATAATACCTAGGTATGTACATATGTAAATAGGTACCTACTTCCTAAATGTAAATTTCCAATATGATGTGTTAGGTTGCCAGCAAGGCAAGTGCTACACTCTAGAGCTTGATAGGCATCCCTACGTAATAAGTGGGGCGAACACTACCTAGCTTTAACTCTGAAGCTTTCCGCGTCTGTCGCGTCACTTTATCTAGTTAATGCCAACTTCAATTATTTTGAGACAACACGCCAGGCTTGATCGTGTTACTTTTCAGCAATCAACTAACAAAATGCGATGACAAGCGCGGAACCGCTTGTGTATTATCCTGCATATTGCTTTCACCTTTCCCCGACAATAAACAAATGGTGTCCGCTGCGCGCTATCGACATCCATGGTCTTGAATGTCGACCTGGATTTGAAGGTACCCATATATGCGAAATCGTCATACATGCGACTTAGCTTACCATGTCAAAGCCGACAATGTTTTTTTCTCCCTAAACCACCCCATTCGCTGGGTTCGGATCGTTGGGGTCGTGGTTGCGATAGACGAGTATTATGGTCGCCGAATATATACGATTGATGACAGCACCGGCGAATGCATTGAGTGCTCTGTAGAAATTCCGAAGCCGGTCGACAACAATCTCCAGAATGGCGTAGACCATGAAGCGATCACAGCGGTCCCCGTTCCCGTTCCCGCTCTTGCTCCGGATCCGCATTCGGATATTGATGTTGGCATGGTCGTTGAGGTCAAGGGTAGCACGAAGGTTTTTAGAGATCAAAAACAGATCAAGATCCAGAAGTTGCAAAGGGTCAAGTCAACAAATCAGGAGGTCCAGTTTTGGAACAAGATCCGTGAATTTCGAAGAGAAGTACTCAGTCGACCCTGGGTGCTGGAGAGGAAAGAGGTGCGCCGGTGTAAGAAGCAGCACATGGCTGATGTAGATGCCGAGGAGAACAAGAAAAAGAAAAGGAAGGAGAACGGGTATACTCTCGATAAGAGTGTCCAGATTAAAGATCCCGCGGCTAGGAGTGAGCATACCAAAAGCAAGCCTACGAAGCCAGAACCTTTTAGTAAGCCGGGAGTCAGGGACGCGTACACCAGCGGTCAGTACGACGCGTTGGGATTATAGAAACATACCATACATCATTGCGCTCTGCTCTAGTTCGTGGATGAGCATGTCATCTTCAAGCTCATTGCAGACATTTCCGATGACATGGTGTTTGGAAAGGGACTGATAGGTATTGTGACAACTACCGTGGCAGGCACCGTGATACCCTCCTACTCCCTATTTTTATCACCTACATGCAAACATTGCAACAATTATGTGTCTTAACCAGATACACCTTCTCGTTACTAGAAAGGTCTTAGCAATCTAAAATACCTAGACATCTATTGTAAGATATGTACTAGAGGTATTGTTGGCAGTAAAAGGGATTTACTGGCAAAGGGCGCTTTGTGGCTTTGTGTGGCTTTGTGTGGCTTGTGCTATATAAGGCTACACTTGGCATGGGTTTGGAAACTGGTATTTTGTACGTTTACACAACCACAAGATCGTAATACATCACACGGTATTACACGCAAA